TCAGTGTTCCTACGAAGGAGTAGCTGAAGACCATGCCAGCTCCATACTTCTTCATCTCCTTGAAACTTCTGCTTCGGTTTAGTGTTTAGGGTTTAGGGGTTTCAGCACTCACAACTGGTTTAGGCGTTTAGGAGGAGTTTAGGGGTTTAGGGTTCGTAGTCTAGGAGTTTACGTTCTCACACTCGGACTCTGCAGGGTTTAGGGTTTCCGGCCCCCATTTCAGCCCTCACAACTGTTAGGGTTCAGGGTTGGGGAGGGGGCGGGGTTCAGGGTTTGGCGGTCCTTGTGATTTGGTTCAGGAGATCCTACCTCCTGCTTACGGTCTATGCTTGGGTGCTCTACCCATAGGCCCCTAAGTAGTTCCTCTTTATGGTTCATATTTAGAATCCTGTAAGGTAATCCCCAAAAAGGAACTACTTAGGAGCCTACGGGTAGTTTTGAAGCTGCCACCTTTGTCCGGATGAAGCTCTAACGCCATCTTCTTGTACATGGCATTGATGTCCTTGGACATCGTCTGCACCAAGCAGAAAAACCCCCAAGAACCGGATATTCCCAAAGTAAACAGCGAAGGAGCTTGCTTGCATTTCAAGGCTCATTCATGTTGGAATCCGGGGGTAGGCCCAGAAAAGCCAAAGCGGAGCGTTTCTGCAAGCTCTTCAAGTTGGCATTCACAGAGTCGCGCCACTTCTGTATTCTGCTGACCTGAGGAAGGTCGAAGGAAGCAGCTTTCAGATACCTTTTGCGCAGGCTTCAAACCCTGAACCTCAAACCCTGAATTCTAAATCTTCTCGGCCGGTTGAAGACTTCATCGCCGCGTCTTCTTGTTGATGAGCAGAAGAGCCACTTCCAAGGCTGAGAAGTTACAGACACACACACACATGCGGGGTTACGTGGCGTTCTCTAAATTGGAGTTTCTGCTGGATTCCCGCGGCAAGTCTTCCAATCAGGATCCCTAAAGGGAGGGGGAGAGGAGGAAGTTGCTTCTCGGTGCACCCGGCCTCGTCGTCTGTCTCTTCCATGCTGGAAGTCTGAAGCAGACACGCAGAGGATTTAGAGTGCTTTGGGCTTTGGGGTTTGCCGTGGGCAGCGCCCTGGGTCTGTGACACTCGCACTGAGCAAGGCTTGCGACAAGTCTGCAGGACACCCTCAAGCCTAAACCACGACCCCTAAACGTGCACCCCAAACTCAAAACCATACTTTATAAGGGCTCGCATCGCACAAGCAGAAAAGCTTCAAAGACTTCGCGCAAAATCGTGCCTCCATATGCTCGTCCAGCTCGTTTGTGCTCATGGTGATCTCACTAGCAACCTTACTTCCCACGGCTTCTCAGGTTCAAGCCTTTTTCGGGCACTGAAGGTTCCTCAGAAGGATCGGGAAGGAGTCAAGCCTGAACCGTCTAAACCCTAACTGTAGAGTTGGGGGGGTTAAACTCGAAACCCTACACACAAGACCCTAACTTTGGGATTGGAGAGTTACGCCGGAAAGCCTACAAACACAAACACACACACACACACACGCACGGACAAAAAAAAAAACCTAAACCCTAACTTAGACTTGGAGAGCTCAGCCACCGATTCCACATCCAAGGACCCCAATCTCTGGCGAAGCTCTGCCTCGGGACATGTGCGAAGTAGCTTAAATGGGGGTTTCCGAAATTAGGGGACCCTGATATACTATTGTAAGGACCCCAAAATAAGGTACCCCCCCTAATTTTCGAAAGGTCCCAAATAGATTAGGCTTTAGGGTTTGGGGATTCGGGCTTAGGGATCAGGGATCAGGGATTGGGTTTGAAAAAGCAGTACTATACTTGGGAAGATATGGGCAGTCTACCAGAATTGGGTTATGCATGGCTATGTTGCAAAATCATACTGGTATTGGGATCATGTGGGTAGCTCGAAGTACGGCAACCTTATAAAATAGGATCCTAAACGGGGACCCTACTTTAGAGAACTGCCCGTATGGTTTTGTGCTAAGCCATCCGCCTCGGTAAATATCCGCATCGGCTGCTTGGAGTTCCTCGGTTGGCTTTGAAAGGGTGGAGTTAGCTTCGCGACGGTTGTAGGGTCTTGAGGCTTCACGCCTGGAGCAGCCTCAAAGTATGTGCTCGGGAGCCCTTGGGCCACAACCCGAAGCCCGTTATATCGAGATCCGCAGAAACACAGCCTGCATGTTCTAAACAAGCGAGCTTCACCAAAAATCGGGAACAACATGTAGAGCATTAAGTCTAAAGTTTAAAGCAGCAGGGTCCTTATCTTCCGCACTCCCGAAATGCAGAAATGGGTGAACCTCACAAACAACTTCGAGAACCGCCTGAACGACTCCAAGGCTCATCTCACTGTGAGCTCGGTAGCGGAAAGTCTCCTCCGAAGAGAGCCTGTGCTCTTCTTAAGGAGCACGGTTTGATGTTTAGAGTTTAGGGTTTACTTAGGCTCTAGGGTTTATTTAGGGTTCAGGGTTGAGGGATTAGGGAGTATAGGGTTTAGGGATTTGGGTTTAGGGAATAGGGATGAGGGTCTAGGAAGGATCTATGACCTCGCCTACGAGGATTAAATGGCTTAATCGGGGAGGTATTCAGGCTTCACGGGGAGTGGAGGATCTGCTTTGGGCATGTGTATTCATATATGCTGCGTATGTTCTCGTTATGGTGACCTCAGGTCACTTCCCCAACAAAAGCCCAGAAGCTTGTTCAGCTTGCTGAGGAAAGGAAGCACCACCAGGCCCAAGCCCAGCACAGCAGTGCCAGCAGCCAATGACGGGTCGGCGTAGTTGATGATCAAACCTTTACGGGTTTTCTTCCCTCCCACCTATCCAGGACGAGCCCGCATTGCAGGGTAAGTTCAGATATGATGCCTATGCACACTGGTTCCATGAGTCCATCTTGGGATCTCACACCACACCAATTGGGGTTTAGGGTTAGGGGTTAGGGTTTCGGCGCTCGGGGTTAGGGCAAGACCAGCTTCCTGCAGTCGTGTTGCTCATGGCACTGGATTGTGCCTTGTCCGCTGTCATGGATCCGTCATCAAATAACATCAACTCGCCTGGAAGAAAAGGGGTTTCAGCTTTCCACTCCACCTATAGACCCTAAACCCTACACCCGAAACCACTTTCAGATCCCGAAGACTCGGCTGGATCAAGTTAGTGTCCCTCGATCCGTAACCCGCCCTCAAAACAAACCCATAGGCCATAAATAAACAACACGCCCTAGGAGCCACTTCTAAGCCCACAAGGCTGTACCAAAGTCCCCAAAGCCAAACAACCCCTGTTGCAACCCTTCTGCCCACCTCCCGGTTCGGGCTTCCCCTTCTCTGCAGCCACATCTCCTCCTGTCTCTGCTTCATCCATGGCTGCGGCAGGGTCGGTGGCTGTCATGCCGGCTTCTTTGCGTACCCGAACCCAGAGCCTTCCCGTGAATAAGAGTGCGTTTCTGTTAAAGAGTCTCAAAACCTTAAAGCAATGGCATGCTAAGCCTTGGCCAATGGATGTTCCAAAAGGGCACAGGCATGATTGCAACCTCCTGTCCATGTGGAAATCGGCCATGCTTGGAAAAAGCTACGTGCGATGGTGCGTCCAGCTCCAATGACAGGTGCTGGAAGCTGCAATCAGCATCTTCTGTTTTCTTTCGCATGCTCTCTGCCTCATCTAAACACGACTCGGCCCAAATTTCATACTTGGAAAGGTCTTTCGGCTCAACATGGGAGGTAATTGTGGACCCGAACTCTACACTCACAAGAGCTGGTTATCCGACCCCTGGCTGGGAACTGTGCGCCCGCCACGGACAGCTCGGCCGGCAGGGACACCTGGCTCACATGACATGGCACAAAAGGGGATTTGCAAAAGATAAGGGGGTTCAATAACTCAAGCTATGCTACGTCAAGGCTTCTAAGCCATGAGGACCCGGAACGCTTTCAGCAAAAGGATCCACAAGATGAGAATAGATGTGTCTTTTGTTTCAGCAGCTACAGTAGGCAGCAAAGCAGTGCTGGTACGAATGAGGTCCGACTAATTCCCAGGCCCAAAGACAGGGGAGTTCCCCTCAAGACTTGGCATGCGTCGAGTTTTGTGGAGGTTTGAAGTCCATAAAGGGCTCCTAACCGTACAAAAACCGTGGACCCGAACCTAAACTTGAGTCATGATTTGCAACATGAAAACACGAGTGAACAGGACCCGGAGTTACCTGTAGTGCTTGGCTAGCAGACCATCACGGCTCAAGCTCCGACATCCCCAGTCCACATTTCCAAGGAAGATGTGCGCCAACCGCCGCAGAGTTGAATACTAACCCGCCTCGAGACTGCAATCCAAGATCGCATGTGCATGGATCGATCTATTCATATAGGGGCCTTAACAATTAGAATAGGGTTTTGGGGCTGATGCGGCCATGAGGCGGTCCGAAGCATCCTTCACACAGGGCTTTTGCCCGTGCTCCTAACAAATCGCACCGGGCATGTTATACTATAGTTATGATAAGGACCCCACAAAACCCTGGCCTGCAACGAGGATGATGTGTCCAGAAGCACCCCTCGAACCTCGTTCGTCCGACAATCCGACTCCGCCGAAGCTGCTACACTCTCCTGTAGGGGCCTTAATCATTAGAATAGGGTTTTTGGCGGGTCCTTATTATAACTACCCAGAACCCTATTCTAAATATGAAGGCAGGCCCCTATAATTAACCACTTAGCCAGAACCCTCGGTCGGCCGTCGAAGATGCTTGCCCCTTCGGTGATGACCTCTTCGGACGCGTGAGGATTTCGGCGGTGAGGTCAAGTTGCTTAGGGTTTGGAGCTTTGCAGGAAGGCCGCGAACCGAACCGCAAACCGGAACCGAACCGCCAGGAACCGTTCAGCCCTGTGAACCGCAAAAAACCGCAAACCGCTGAACCGACACGCGACACGAACCGCGCGAACCGAACCGCAGAACAACTCCATCCATCCCTCCATCCGGCTCCCTCCCCCTCTCAAACACCTTCCATCCACACGCACCAAGCTCCTGCCCTCCCTCCTTCCAAACCCCTCCATCCAGCCAGCCCCCTCCATCCATCCAGTCAGGCCCCCATCCAGCCATCCAGCCCAGGCCCCCTCCATCCAGCCAGGCCCCCTCCAGCCAGCCAGGCCTCCATCCAGGCCCTCCATCCAGCCAGGCTCCATCCAGGCAGGCCTCCATCCAACCAGGCCTTCTCCATCCAGCCAGGCACCCTGCCCCATCCGCCCTCCATCCAACCAGGCCCCCTTCCTCCAGCCAGGCCCCCTCCATCCAGCCCTCCATCCAGTCAGGCCCGCCCTCCATCCAGCCAGGCAGCCTCCATCCAACCCCCCCTCCCCGCTTGTCCAACCCCTCCCCCTCCATCCAAGGCACCTGCTCCATCCAACCACATCCAACCACAAGCGCCCTCCATCCAACCCCCCCTCCATCCAAGCGCTCAGGCACCTCCATCCAAGCACCTGCAGGCACCCAGCCAGACCCCCTCCATCCAGGCTCCCTTCCATCCACCCTTCATCCAACTTGCGGCCTTTCAAAATATTGTCAACATTTTACCCTAAACCTAACACCCAAGAGAGGTGGGGTAGGAGAGTACAAGCCAGTTTCATCTAAGAGACACGGGTTTGGAAAAGGGCAGGGGTTTGGAAAAGGGCTCAGCATCATGAAATTGGGCACCTTGAATATCCTAAACCCTAGAGCTGGTGGCGGAGGGCGTGGATGGAGGGAGGTTGGTGGATGGAGGGTTGGTTGGGCTGGTGGATGGAGGCTGGAAGGAGGGGTGGATGGAGGGCTGGTGCCGTAGGGCGTGGATGGAGGGAGGTTGGTGGATGGAGTCTGGATGGAGGGGTGGATGGAGGGTGGAGGGCTGGTGGCGGAGGTGGATGGAGGGAGGTTGCTGGATGAAGGCTGGATGGAGGGTGGATGGAGGGTGGAGGGCTGGTGGCGGAGGGCGCGGATGGAGGGAGGTTGGTGGATGGAG